TTGAATTATGTTTATTACTAGTGTCAAAGGTATACATGTATTGAAATAAATTATCACACAGAAAAACCGACAAGTATCATTGGAGTCAATATCTGACGTAAATGGATTCATTTTATAAGTTTAAAAAATATTTATTTGCATAACATAGCACAAGGGGCAACATTAAACAATAAAGTACTTGTGTGTGTGTGTGTGTATGTGTAAACAACATTGATCTTAAATAGGTTGTCATTAAGAAAGCTTTATTAGCATCTTAGTTAGGCCAATAAAATCTTGGACCTGACAGAAACTTTTTTACGGAAAAAACATCATTTAATCTGACAAAATTTTCAGTTTAGATTTTAATTTTGATAGTGATTCTTTTTTTATGAATAAATCAATTTTTTCCATTATTGAAAGGACTTAGTCTTGGTCATGATCTATTCTTTCAGTTCCTTGATATAGCATACCAATTATCATAAACAGCACTTAACGGTATCACCGATTCAACCGTTAGTCTTCTAGACATATCTACTGTTATCTATGGTACTGTGGTCTTTGTCTCTTTGTCAATCATACCACGTCGCCTTTACATTTATATAGCGAAACTATTTTTACAATGTACTGTATTACAAGATGTATAATACATGTTAAATGATTTGTGAAGTGTAATGTCATTAAATTGACTACTTAGATTATGGTAAATTCTATTATTATTGTCTTGTTAACCAAATAAAGATATATAGATATATGCTGTAATTTCATATATGCAATGAAAATACACATGCTTGTACAAAGATAACGCCATTTGATTCTGAAACAGCCTTTAGAAAAACACTCTTTCACTGTTTCTTATGTGGTATATTTCTCTACTCAAAATAATTTTCAATATTTAATATGCTTGTCAAACCAAACAATTAAAAAGCATAATCAAAGAGCTGATTGCTCTGAGGTGGAAAAAGATGCATAAAAGGTAACTTGAATTACAATAAAAGCAGCCCCACCAACCAAGCCTGCTTTGTCCCATTATTGCTTTCGACGTATTTTTTTCTTCCAAAAATAATAATACTCATAACTCAACCAAAACTCACTATACTTAACATAAAAATCTGCAAATACTGTTATTTTCTATAACTAAATTCCATACATTCGTCTCAGCATGGTCAACTTGATGCAATGCAATTTCGCCAATCAATTATAACTTACAGTAATTGATTTGGTTTCACTTGAAAGTTTTCTGTCAAAGGCAGATAGTTAACTTTAAAAAAAATGGCCACCAAGATTTTAGTCAACTTTGCTTAAACTAGGGTTTTTCATTATAAACATATATTGAAAAATTCTAAATATATCCAATGCAGATATGTGTCAGGCCAAGGATTGACTGGTCACGTCAGGTGATGACCTCGCTATGTTATTGCGATAATTTAGAGTCAAGCGCACATGTGAATCTGCTAGTGTGTAAAAATGTGGTAAGCGGAAGAAGGGATCCCGTAGACCGCCCTACGTCACGATTCATGAATTATGCATATTCTATTTATAGGCTATTTGTAAACGATCCTAAAAATACTAATGCTAAAAATAGAATATTCTCAACATGTAAAACTATTAAAAAAACGATGCAAAATCATTAACTTTCATGTAACACTCACGTGAATTTGCTTTATTTATTTTTTATCACATGAAAAGTAGGAAAATGTACCGCATTACAGTAGCATATATCATTGTGCCCTCTTTAAGCAAATACAGATTCCTTTTTAAAATACATGATATTTCATATATATATATGACAAACAGTAGTGGTGCCTTAATTATGTTGTAAAGACCTGCAAATGTCCCAAGCACGCGGTCCCATGGCTTTGAATATACTATGGAGTTAAAAATATTTTTATTATCCGCTTAAAAGAGTACTTTGATGTAGGCAAATTGAAAAAAATGTAGCTTACACGTACTAAGGCACGAGAAATTTTCTTTACGGGAGTGTGAGGGGGTTGTGGTGGTGATTTGGGGGAGGGGGGGCAGGGGGTGGTGGTGGTGGTGGGGTTTGGTGGGGGGGGGGGGGGGGGGGGGGCGGGTTGGTCTGCGTTTAAAGAAACGAATTAATCTGGCCTTCATTTTGATAATTAAATAAATCAGTCGGGCCTAGTATACAGTTGCTCAAAGACAATTCTGAATTCATCTTCAATAAGCAAGTATGATGTTGAATAACAAATTCTGGCTTTGGATTGATTGAAAAAGAATTGCTAGGTTTGCATTTGAATAAAAAATAAATCTGTCTCGATATAAAACATCTACTAAAGGATCCCCTAGGCCGTCAACAGGACCCCTTGTTGTCTGAACATTCCACTATAGGGTGTTCTATGGGAACCCTTGTTAATTGTTCATAATGAAGCTACTATTAGGGCGTTCTACAGGATCCCCTAGGCGGTCTACATGATCCCCTGTTGTCTGAACATTATATATCTACTATAGAACGTTCTATTCTATCCCTTGTTGTTTGTTTCTCAAGTATATACTATAGGGCGTACTACAGGATCCCCTGTTGTCTGAACATTATATATCTACTATAGGACGTTCTACAAGATCCCCTGTTGATTGTTTTTCATTTTTATACTATGGGCCGTTCTACAGAATCCCCTGTTGTTTGAAAATTATCATCTAAAATAGGACCTTCTATAGGTTCCCCTGTTGTTTGTTTATCATGTATATAAGGCGTTCTATAGGATCCCTTGGGCGGCCTGCAGGATCCCCTGTTTTTTCAACATTATATATCTACTATAGGACGTTCTATAGAATCCCCTCTTGTTTGTTTATCATGTATATACTATAGGGCTTTCTATAGGATCCCCTGGACGGTCTACAGGATCCCCTGTTGTTTGAAAATTATGCATCTAAGATAGGACCTTCTATAGGTTCCCATGTTGTTTGTTTATCATGTATATACTATAAGACTTTCTATATGATCCCTTGGTCGGTCTGCAGGATCCCCTGTTTTCTCAACATTATATATCTACTATAGGACGTTCTATAGAATCCCCTCTTGTTTGTTTATCATGTATATACTATAGGGCTTTCTATAGGATCCCCTGGACGGTCTACAGGATCCCCTGTTGTTTGAAAATTATGCATCTAAGATAGGACCTTCTATAGGTTCCCATGTTGTTTGTTTATCATGTATATACTACAGGGCGTTCTACAGGATCCCCTGGACGGTCTGCAGGATCCCCAAGGCAGTCTATAGGATTTCCTGTTGTCTGAACATTATATATCTACTATAGGACGTTTTATAGGATCGACTGTTGTTTGTTTTTCATGTATATACTATAGGGCTTCCAGGATCCCTTGGGCGGTCGGTAGGATCCCCTGTTTTCTCAACATTATATATCTACTATAAGACGTTCTGTAGGATCCCCTGTTGTTTGTTTTTTCATGTATATACTATAGGGCGTTCTACAGGATCCCCTGATGTCTGAACATTATATATCTACTATAGGACGTTCTATAGGATCGACTGTTATTTGTTTTTCATGTATATACTACAGGGCGTTCTACAGGATCCCCTGGACGGTCTGCAGGATCCCTTTGGCGGTCTGCAGGATCCCCAGGGCAGTCTATAGGATTTCCTGTTGTCTGAACATTATATATCTACTATAGGACGATTTATAGGATCGACTGTTGTTTGTTTTTCATGTATATACTATAGGGCTTTCAGGATCCCTTGGGCGGTCGGCAGGATCCCCTGTTTTCTCAACATTATATATCTACTATAAGACGTTCTATAGGATCCCCTGTTGTTTGTTTTTCATGTATATACTATAGGGCGTTCTACAGGATCCCCTGGACGGTCTACAGGATCCCCTGTTGTTTAAAATTTTATGCATCTGAGATAGGACCTTCTATAGGTTCCCCTGTTGTTTGTTTTTTATGTATATACTATAGGGCTTTTAAGATATTTTGGGCGGTTTGCAGGATCCCCTGTTTTCTCAACATTGTATATTTACTATAAGACGTTCTATAGGATCCCCTGTTGTTTGTTTTTCATGTATATACTATAGGGCGTTCTACAGGATCCCCTGGGCGGTCTACAGAATCCCCTTTTGTCAAATAATTATGCATCAGAGATAGGAAATTATATAGGTTCCCCTGTTGTTTGTTTATCATGTATATACTAGAAGGCTTTCTATAGGATCCCTTGGGTGGTCTGCAGGATCCCCAGGGCAGTCTATAGGATCCCCTGTTGTCTGAACATTATATATCTACTATAGGACGTTTTATAGGATCGACTGTTGTTTGTTTTTCATGTATATACTATAGGGCTTTTAGGATCCCTTGGGCGGTCGGCAGGATCCCCTGTTTTCTCAACATTATATATCTACTATAAGACGTTCTATAGGATCCCCTGTTGTTTGTTTTTCATGTATATAGTATAGGGCGTTCTACAGGATCCCCTGGGCCGTCTTGACCTCATTGTAGGGTATGAATGATTCGTTCATTGTTGAAGACAATAAATCGACTGTCAAGATGAAGAACAGGAATAAAAAAAACCCGGATTATTGATAATTTGTATCCTTTCTATATATTTTGTGAGATTTTTTCCCATGTACATTTACTCCATATCCTTTTGTTTTACTATGAAAAGTTGTCCCTTTGTGAAACTAATCAACTACGATATGTATCAATACTTTATTAAAGTAAAATAAAGATAGCACCTTCGTTTGAATAGATTACTCATTTGTAACAGAATTGCAAAATACATGACATAATTCTACTATTTAGTGAAAAAAATACACTGCAACCACAACCTATTGGGATATAAAGCTTTGATCCAATATTCATGTATATATTCTATTTCTAAAACACTGCATGATACACGACAAAAACAAAAGGTTTTAATTTGAAAAAAAAACAATCTGATTAAATTATTTTTAATTATAAAGTGGATCAGTGAAATTGATACAGCTTATATCTACTAATATGATTCGTACTTTTATTACATATTTCATAATATTTTATCATACAAACTTGGCCGGTTGACAGAAATCATTGACAAAGGTTACATGTTTTCTTTCATACACCTTATTTTGTATTTGTGTATCCGAGTATTTTCGTGGAAATCCTAAAAATTACAATATGGTTGAAATTTGAATCAGTAGTTCTATTTAACGAATATTCTAAAAACAAATAAACCACATAAAAAAACATCACATTTTTCATTGTGTTCATCATTAAGTATCCATCAGTTAATTAGCAGTTATAGGAATTAGCGTTTCAAACTCGGCAAAGGATGAAGTAGCCTGTCAGCTTCAGGTACAGTTATCTTCTTGATGTGAGAAACAACTAAGATTTCAGCTTCCACAAACAAAACATCTTTGAAATATCTTGTACCACTGTTCATATTCTGAGACATCCTATAAAAATGTGAAAATGATAATTCGTATTTCGCAAAACTTCAAATCTTCAAGTTTGCTATATATATATATATGCATATATGTAACTAGGTTAATCGTCCGTCGGATGGCCCAATGTACAGGGACATGTCACCCCATGTGCATGTAAAAAGTAGATAACAAATAAACCTAACTCCAAGAAATATTTATGAGACCCCTTCTGCAGATTTCGTTTAGAGTAGGTTCTTTTGGGCCGCTGCAGAGGCAAAAATTGTTAGGGACCCCATAATTTATTCTATGGAAGTGACACTCAAAAATTGCAGATGTTGTATATATATATGTCTACATTGGCTAAAGGTTAAGTGGGAAGGTTGAGATCGTACAAACATGTCTAACCCACCGCTTTTTGCGCCTATCCAAAATCATGAGCCTCTGGTCTTTGTAAGTCTTGTATGTTTTTAACATTTTAGTTCACTTATATATTTCAGAATTTAGGGTGACGTCCATTTTAAATGAACTGGTACACATTTTTGCTTAAGGGGCTGCTGAAGTCCGTCTCCGGGGGCGGGATTTTATCGCTGTGTTGAAGATCCATTAGTGGCCTTGGGCTGTTTTATGCTCGTTGGTCGGTTTGTTGTCTCTTTGACGCATTTCCCATTCCCATTCTCAATTTAAATGATTATGTGGTAACATCCTCATCAATATATTTGAAAGTTCAGACATTTCATACATTTTATTGATGTTTCAAATATATTAAAATCTTACATTATATTACATTTTATTTTAATATGTTAAAAAATAAGCTTTTTAAAGTAAATGAGATATTTATCATTTTGGTCGCCTCTCAAACATTAATATTAATTGGCTCATGTTTTTATTACCTCTTTAAGTAATATGGACTTGTTTTTTGTGAAAGTATTAAGTGGGACATTTAAAAAAATATTGTATAGGATGAAACGCCTTTTTAAAGGAATTTATTGGTGTATAAACTGGACCAATTCACTCACAAAAAAATAAAAGTCCGAAGGACTTTTGTGATATGTTTGTGAGTGACTTGGTCCAGTTTATACACCAATAAATTCCTTTTAAAAGACGTTTTATTGGTGTATAAACTGGACCAATTCACTCACAAACTAATAAAAGTCCGAAGGACTTTTGTGATATGTTTGTGAGTGACTTGGTCCAGTTTATACACCAATAAGTTCCTTTTAAAAAGCGTTGAATCCTTATAATTCTTTAAAATTGGAGATAAGTGCAAATAGGTATTTTTGACGTCGAGCCGGTCTTATTTTCGCTGCCATCTTGTTTCCATTGATTACAAAAAAGTAGTTCTGTCAACGTCGTTTATCGAAAAATAAATTAAAAACTTCAAGAGTGACTACCGGAAGCCTTCTCGACCAATCATATGAACGTATTCCCTAATATGCATATCATTTAAAAATTATAATGGAATAATATCAAGTTCTAAATTATCATTCTCAAGATGTTTGACACATAATACCTTAGCGACATGAGGGAATAGATGTATATAAAATGTAACTAACACCAAGTCCATTTATCAAATTAAATTCCAATTTTGTCATAAATAAATTGATATAGATCATATATTAATATCATCAATGTCCAAGCACCCTACAATATTGCTTCACTTTGAAATACATCTTCATAAAACTAGCTTTCTAGCCAATTGGAATACAAGGATAATTCCTTACAATAAAACTTAAAGGAAACACTTTCCAACTGATAAATCAATATTAGACTTTAATTCTTAATATTATTGAAATCACTTACATTTTGTCTAGTGTTGCCTGTAGCTTGGAATTATTGATACTGTCTTTGACTGTCAAATAGTGTCTATGTGTAAATCCCAATCGCCTAAAAATATAACACAGAAAAACAATGCAACTGCTGAAAAGGACTTAAAATGAACTGGAAGATATTTACCTTATCTACTTTAATCATGAATTGTTATAGACTATAAACTTGATTGAAATATACACGAGTTTTAAAATTTAAAAAAAAACTGTTCATACTTACTGTATTGATTTAATTTTCCATTCCGAAAACTCGGCGAGAACCAAGGCATACACCTCTTTGCCTGCCTGAAAGCATTATGTAAAATGATCAGTTATATTTTGAAAACAGGGTAAGAACATCTTTAAAGTGGATTCATTTTAGTTCCATTGTCTATTTGAAAGAGAAAATGATACATGTATAAGAGAAGTATTGCTACGATGTTGAATGGTTTTAATATCAGGATAATATTTTGACCTATTTTTCCTCAATAGGAAGAAAGGGTCATCAGTGATTGACTCTCATACATCTTACTTGTAATAGTAGTTTACAGACATACAACACAAATAATTGCAAATCGGTTTAAACTTAAAAAAAATAAAAACCCAAGTTAATTAGACCTGTGGCCATAATATTGACACAATTCTAGTCATCTTCAACATATTTTCTATCATAAACATTGCAGATCATTTAACATGTTTAAAGGATTATTGTCCTTCTTGCAGTGTCATCATATAGATAGAAGATAAATTACATCATTGAATAAATTACGTATTAAAAAACTAAAAAGTATTGAACCAATAGTTAAGATTAGACATATTTATATTTACAGTATTTCCAAAAATGTTCTGTCTTTCGCATATCCCAGCTGTGGCTTCCCTCATTTCCATATGCTTTGCTAATGAAATACCGGTAATCCACCGTATATGCCTCCAATGTGCACTGTAATAGCTGTATGTAGTGTTTATATAAATAAAAAGATAAGATAAGATAATATAAGATCAGATATTTTCATTAAAAGTAAAAATGTGGTATGAGTGCCAATGAGACAACGCTCCATCCAAGTCACAATGTATTTAAAGTTAACAAGTATAGGTCGAAGTACGGCATTTCTTTGGATATTTGTGCTAGCTGTTATTCATTCGATTCATAGTTGAAAAGTATATGATACATAACGATAATATTAAGTTTTTATTTGAAAAGCTATTAAACCTTTTTTCATTCATATATGATCTACCAATATTGTGTTAAAGTGGTATAATGTCGCATCATTTTTTAAACAAAGCAAGCATTCAATAGTGTGAAACGTTTAAACATTTAAATTATGAAAAGCTCACCTAGCACTTCCTTGAAGTTCAGTCATTTCTATGACCTCTTTCAGTTTGTGTTTGACGTGGACATCAGACTGTATAAGAAAAAATACATAAGTAAAACAAATGATCTTTCATTATCAATTCTCAAAAAATGTCTCAATTATCTTAAAATCTTATCAATGTCCCTACCATAGACAATCTTTTCCAGTACTTATGCCCTTAAAGGAAGACAATAACTATCAAAACAAAGAAGTTAACAAAGACTCATAAAACCAAAAGACATTCACAACAACTATAAATAAATAGGACCAACACGAACTCAACTAAAACCGGGAGTGTTATAAGGTGCTCGGGAAGGGTAAACATTCCCTGCACTGTATACGACACCCTGTTCAGTCCGGTAAAAATGAAAGGTTGTTATGACTGCGGAAGAGTATATGATATGAATTCCGACACACTTTTGGTATTTAACCTATCATCAGTAGTCATTTCAAGAAAAAGGTGTAAATATGAAACAGATTATTAATAATCTGTGTCGGAAGTATCTTTATTTTCAACAATTTTGATATATTAAATGTAAGTGATCGCTATGGCAAGCCGTTTTACTATTTATTCTAACTTCAAGATCTCTAATTAACTTCATAAGATATCTCATATAGTTTATGAGATATCTTATATAGTTTATGAGATATCTTATATAGTTTATAAGATATCTCATATAATCTATAAGATATCTTATATATTTTTCTAATCTTATCTATATTTTTTTATAACATATCTTATTTATATTTTTTTAATAAGATATCTTATAAACTATACGAGATATCTTATAAACTATATGAGATATCTTATAAACTATATAAGGTATCTTATAAACTGTTTGAGATATCTTATCAAGTATATAAGATATCTTATTTAAAAATTGTGTATAAGATATCTTATAAACTTTATCAGATATCTTATATATACTTAATAAGAAATCTTATATATACTTTATAAGATATCTTATATATACTTTATAAGATATCTTATATATACTTTATAAGATATCTTATATATACTTTATATTGTTGTCTCTTTGACACATTCCCCATTTCCATTCTCAATTTTATTTATAAGATATCTTATATATACTTTATAAGATATCTTCTTCAGTTTATAAGATATCTACTATAATTTTCTTTATAAGATATCTTATAAACTGTATAATATATCATATATACTTTATAAGGTATCTTCCATAGTTTATACGATATTTTATATACTTTATAAGATATCTTCTTAAATTTATAAGATATCTTCTAAAGTTTATAAGATATCTTCTAAAGTATATAATATAGTGATCACTATGGCAAGCCGTTTTACTATTTATTCTAACTTCAAGATCTCGAATTAACTTTATAAGATATCTCATATAGTTTATGAGATATCTTATATAGTTTATGAGATATCTTATATAGTTTATAAGATATCTCATATAATCTATAAGATATCTTATATATTTTTCTAATCTTATCTATATTTTTTTATAACATATCTTATTTATATTTTTTTAATAAGATATCTTATAAACTATACGAGATATCTTATAAACTATATGAGATATCTTATAAACTATATAAGGTATCTTATAAACTGTTTGAGATATCTTATCAAGTATATAAGATATCTTATTTAAAAATTGTTTATAAGATATCTTATAAACTTTATCAGATATCTTATATATACTTAATAAGAAATCTTATATATACTTTATAAGATATCTTATATATACTTTATAAGATATCTTATATATACTTTATAAGATATCTTATATATACTTTATATTGTTGTCTCTTTGACACATTCCCCATTTCCATTCTCAATTTTATTTATAAGATATCTTATATATACTTTATAAGATATCTTCTTCAGTTTATAAGATATCTACTATAATTTTCTTTATAAGATATCTTATAAACTCTATAATATATCTTATATACTTTATAAGGTATCTTCCATAGTTTATACGATATTTTATATACTTTATAAGATATCTTCTTAAATTTATAAGATATCTTCTAAAGTTTATAAGATATCTTCTAAAGTATATAATATATCTTATAAAATTAATAAGATATCTTATAAAGTATATAAGCTATCTTTTTAAGTTTATAAGATATCTTATAAAAACTAGATTATATAAGATATCTTATATACTATATGAGATATCTTATATATTATATTAAATATCTCATATATTATATGAGACAGATATCTTATATATCATATGAAATATCTTATATATTATATGAGATATCTTGAAGTTAGAATAAATAGAAAAACGGCTTGCCATAGATCACTGAATCTATTATCATTTAGAGACAGTACATCATCAATATATCGGAAAGTGATATAAAAAGACGAGGTCAATTTCTTTTCTCCTTTCTGTACAAATCCATAAGAATACGAAAACAACTATAATTGCCATTGCGAGCAATGGCGGATGTCATACTGTTGTCAAGTTGCCAGACGACCTTGCCATTGCTAGGTTTACGTCAGCAATTTTGAAAAAAAATCCATACTCAAAAAACACAACTCCCTACTGCTATGTAGTTCTGAGGACCATACAAGTTGTTGACACCTACTTTGTATATTGAATATCATGGTTCTATGCTCAGGCATACTAGAATTATATACAAAAAACATAAAAAATACTGTTGACCAGAGTTTATAGTAATCGCGACCATCTTGGACCATCCCCTTATTAAAAAAGCACAACTTTTTATGGTGGTTTACATTATGCCATAATTCCATAAAGATGAATGTGTCTATCCTTTTCCGAGAACTTGCCGGGACAATAAAGTTATGGGGAAAAAGATGATGATGAAAAAAAAGAAACGAACAATAACAATATGCCCTCCCACCCTTTGAAAGGGATAACATAATTAAACTTACTAAATTTAGAATCATTTGGTTTCTTTAATGTCACTTTAACTACGAACAGTGAAAGTTTCATTTAAACCCATGAAGAAAAATTATCTTAATTTTGTAAACTATTAGATTATGATTATGAAATGAGTTAAAGGAAATAATGAATTAACAGGACATAAATATATCGTATCCTAGGTATATATGTTGCTCTCCAAGTATGCCACATTTGTAGCACAAATTGTATAGCAAAAACATAAGGCTTACCAATGTTGCTAAGTTCTGTCCTTTCACAGATGAGAATCCTCTGGTGATAGTCATTGGCATTGTATCAAAATCATCACTCATGGCACTAGTCAGACTTTGACACTGTAAACATGTCTGTAATAAGTAAAATAACAAATATACCGAACATCAAGGAAAATTTAAAATGGAAAATCCTTACTCAAATGGCAAAACAAAAAGCTCAAACTTATCAAACGAATGGAAACAACTGTCATAGTCCTGACTTAGTACAGGCATTCAATTGCAGAACATGATGGGTTAAACCTGGTTGTAAAGCTAGCTTAACCTCTAACTTGTATTACAGCCGCTTATAAAATCAGTTATAGTTTTAACAAATCATATACATATGCATAAAACAGAAATATAGGTCTTAAAAATTAAAAGGAGATATCTGTCAAGATTATGAAAGCCACTAGGTAAACTCGATATGGTCTAAATAATAAATAACGGGTATCCCTAAAAAGCAATGTTTGATAGGTAAACATAAAATATGTTTCCAATTACTATTATTAACCATATAAAAAAATGTATCCCTGAAGAACTGAATACAGTTACATATATAATCATGAGATAAACTCACCTTTGCTGACACCGATATAAATAGCCAATGGATGTCCTGTGTGCATGATGATGAAGCTGTTTCAATGCCCTTTTCCTTAATTTAAATGTGTAAGGAATACATGAAAAATCTAATTGAAAATCTATTCATAAGGTTTAAAGGTACAAAGATACAGAAATACAGTATAACAGGTGTAATTGAGAAGCATTTACTGTTCAATAATATGGATCAACCCCAGTGAATTTTATGCTGTTTGTTGCCATGCGTACATTTATGTTTATTTGTATTTTGTGTACCTTGTTTTTTGTCAATTGTCATGATATTTCCAAAAAAAATAACCAATGTTATTTTATCACAAGACCACCTTCTATCGTTCTTCAATGTAAATGTTATTCAACTTAGATTTATACTTTATTTGGACTTAGAACTATTTTGATTTGAGTATCACTGATGAGTCTTGTAAACATGGCGTAGATTTTTTTAATTTTTAATGCAGATACTCTATGATAAATAATATCAGTATTAATTAGACAATATCCCACTAAAAGTCAATAACCATTACATTTATCTGTACATTTTTATTGTATTATGAATCCTTTTACCTTTAATTTCGGTTTCCTGAGTTTAGGTCTTGGGGGCATAGCCTTGGGTTGCTGTTGTTGTGATAATCCTTTAACTAGAATAAGAACGTTTCATTTATTAAGACAATTTAATAAATCTCATGATAATTGCCTGCAAATCAGTGATTAACATCAAGTAAAGGAACCTTTAGATGTTCAACTTTAACTTTAAATTGCTATATTGATATTTTTACATTAGTTGTGGACATATGAATACAATAATTCATGACCGTAGACGAACATTTGAAATTTATGACATATAAATGAATTATTTCATATGGTATGGAAGTCTTTTTCTTATCATGAATTAAAAATGAAACTCTTTTCTCAATGGGTATAAAGTAAAATAACCATACTGAACTTAAAGGAAAAAATCTAAATGAAAATGTAATCAAATGGCAAAACAAAAAGTTGAAACATATCAAACGAATGGAAAGCAATTGTCACATTCCTGACTTTATAATGCTCTTTAATATAATTATGCCGAGAAAATACAACACTTACCACTGCTATCAACAAGAACTTGTCCAATGATGTGTCTTGATGCTCTTATAGCCCTTTTTGATGAGTCAAACATAAAGTCATTATCTGTAAGAACATTTTCTGCAACTGGAAAATATATAAATCGAGAATATTCAATTCAAAGAGAACGATGTTGACACCAACACTTGTAAGCGGAGCTATAAAGCATGTTCCTCAAACGAGATTTATAAAGGTGTACATATTTTACGGGTTAAATCAACCAAACATTTTTTTGAAATAAATTTCTGAAGAAATTGCAATACATGTATTAATGTTTAAATATTTGGCCGATACCAAAATAGGAATAATTGGTCTTAGTACACCGTGAATAAAAGTAATAGAGTCTGACTTTCAAAGGATTGTTTTTTTTTTTTTCTAATATTCGTGATATTTTTGTATTTTTACATTTTCCGACCGGTGTAAGAAAAATATTTCTAGTCTCCACAGAGAGAAATTTGTTCTCGGCAAATGATTGGTCGAATTTCTATGGCATCAAAATCTTGCTTTCTTTCAAATTTACTATTACTGTGGATTCATTTATTTTCGTGGGTACCAATTTTCGTGGATTAAGAAAAACTTACATGTTCGTGGATATTTAATTTCGTGGTTTAGCCATAATGTGTATACAAGTCTATAGGAAATTTGTAATTCGTTGAATAATTAATTTCGTGGTTCATCTGTACCCACGAAATACACGAAAATTGGTATCCAACGAATAATAATGAATCCACAGAATGACGTAATAAAAACAGGCACATATAAAGAACATTTCTTTTTGCTGATCTTTGGAAAGAAAGGTCAAACTGTGTTAAAATTTCTTTTAAAAATCATTCGAGAAACAGATTCATCCACTGTATATCGTAAATGAAAATTTAATTGTTTCGAGTAGAGAAATATCGTAATACACTTGATGCAGTGTTGGAATCATCTATATTTCTATATCCCTTTAATGTAGACAACAGTAGTGAATACCACTGTTCTATATCCATAATTCGATTAAGAGAAAAACTAGTCCAGGCGATAAACTTAAACCAAAGTAAACACAAAAACTACAAGAGGAAAACAACGGGGCAACAGAAACACAGAACTACAAGCCAAGCAGACGCTAACCAACATACGTCTGATTCCTGACTTTAAAACTGAAATAGATGTAGTATATTACCTTCAACGTAAAAACTCCGCATGATGAGGAATCTAATTGTTTTCTGCGTTTCCTGGTAACAATACTCCATTCCAAACTGAAAGATGGATTGCGTCTGATTCCCCTATTGTGTCTTTCAGATATGAATAACCTAAGATTTGGAAAAATTAAAATGTTATCATCGTTCGTATTTCACTGTAAATTGTTTTAAATTGATAAATACCCTAAACTTAACATGAAAATTACTTTTTTGGAGAATTAATTGTTTTGGTTTAAAAACAACATTGCCACTGTCAGACGTTTTTTGTATAATTGTATCCGTTGCTTTAAAGTAAATATCTGGTTGTAAAACCTCTTTTTCTTTTCGTCGAAATGCACAAAGTGAGATATACTAAATACAACCAGTTCTGTAAATATTGGTCCTGGTGTGTCTTTTGCTCGCCTAAAGGATTCAAATACAGAAGCTATCTAAATTGTGGATAAATGACCTACAATGTAAACATCAACGTAAGTTTAATATGAAAACCAGAGCTATATGCACTTTACTTTGCTTCACTCAAAATTTTACGTTTAATCAAAAATAAGAAAAACAACTTCCCAAGAAGGTAGCGTTCTATTTGGAAAACAAGTTCATTCAAATAGATGCTATCACTTTTTCGCAATAACTTTTTCAAAAATGTTTAACTTTTGTAGAGGGCCTACTTCAATATTTGCTGAACAATGATTTAATAATAACAAACATCTTCATGTCACAATGCTTCTGATGCAATAACATAAAAAGCTAGATTTCTTACCATTAAACACCAATGATTGTTGTTCTCACATAAAGCTCCTAACAAAATGTCATAATCTTCTATATTCACCTAAAAAGGGTAGTGTAATTAGTTAAATCACGAATAAACTTTCAATATTGTAAAAAACAAATCACTGACAAAATTTTGATTATTAAGATGTTTTATGATGTGACGTAAATGTTAAATGGTAAAATGTCTTAATTCGTGAACTTTCATATAATTTTCAGATATGTAGAAGATATTTTTGCAGTTTAAAACGAAGAAATTAACACTTCAAATTTCATTCTTTTGGATTCCAGATAAACGAATTTTGTAAGAACAAATTGGTTACTAAAATATATGATAAAATGAATTACTTCAATTTTCTCATAGTGATGTTTACTTATTTGACGGAGATTTACAACAATCATAATGCATTTACATTTCACAAATAGTAAGTATCTAACATATCTAAAGCTTCTGAATTGAAACATATACATATGTTTTGTTGTACAAATTCCGTTGATCTTAATTATCTGGGTATATAATGAGATCATATTATGAATATGGTTGATAACACTTACTTCCTAAATCAGTTAACGGTGGTCAGTAGATTTGTAGAAATATCTGGTCACACAATTATGTTGGTTCATTTAAACAAAAGAATTCACAGGGCCTTTGCCTCATAACAATTTTGATATAATATTTTTTGTCAGAAGCTTTGTTGAAAATACTTAGGTAATGTTTGGCTAGACGTACCCTTGAATAATAATTAAAAAAACACTTGTTGGAAACAAAATAAAACAGTGAAACGAAATGAATGGAAGTATACATTGTGTTTATAGCTGACACTTATCAATATATACAGACTAAATTTGAAATCATATTTATTTTAATAAGATCAAACATATTTTATTCAATAACTCCTGTTCTATAATTACCTAAGTAGCCCAGTGTGCAAACTTAGGGACCCCTGTTTTATACAGCCTCACTTGACCAGGGAAAAAATCAAGCGGAATCATGTTTCTTTTCTTTACCAGGTACGGAATTTATACCTGATCTTTAAAAAAATATGGTACTGACTTATGTAAAAACAAAATCAAATTAAACATTTTTTTCCAATGATGGACAAAGATGAAAATTCAAAAAATAATAATGATGATAATTATACATGTACTGTCGTTCGTAATTAATAAAAAATATAATAAAATTAAGCTAAAAAAACATATATATATATATCTCTAATAACTACTTAACCGACCCAAAGACTTATTATCAAATCAATTAGTTATAAAAAGACAGACATGACTCATAATATTCATTTTTTTAGATGTGCACTGGACTGGTACATGATAGTAAGGGGGAAATCGCTTAGCAGCGTAGATAACAATTCTAAGACATTATATATCGCTTAATATGATTATACCTTAAAATCAGGAAAGCAAGTCACTTCTTTCATTATAATGCTTGCCGGACAGTTTAAATTTTTACTGGTTTGGACCATAACTTTTTCTTTAACAGGAATTGGATGATCTTTCTAAAAAAATGAAATTAAACATTAAGTTAAATAACAACACAAATCATAAAGACCATCGTCTGGCATATGTTCTTATAGTCCTTTAAAACTTACTTTTCGGTGTGAGCTAATGCTCCGTGTTGAAGGCCGTACTTTGACCTATAGACCGCCCAGTGGATCCTTTAGAACGCCCTGTTTTAGATACATGATGAACTACCGACAGGGGATCCTATAGACCGCCCCGGGGATCCTATAGCAGATACACGATTATAAACAACGGGTAATCCTATAGACCCCACAGGAGATCCTATAGGACGCCTTTTAGTAGATACATCTAGTAGATACATGATTACCAAACAACGGGATCCTATAGACCGACCCGGGGATCCTTTAGAACGCACTATAGCAGATGCACGATTATTAAACAATACGGGATCCTATAGAACGCCCTGTTTTAGATACATGATGAACAACCAACAGGGGATCCTATAGACCGCCCCGGGGATCCTATAATACGCTCTATAGCAGATACACGATAATTAAACAATAGGTGATCCTATAGGACGCCTTCTAGTAGATACATCTAGTAAATACATGATCACCAAACAACGGGATCCTATAGAACGCCCTATAGCAGATACACAATTATGAAACCACAGGGGATCCTATAGACCGCCCAGGGGATCCTATATAACGCCCTCTAATATATACATGTTGAACAAACAACGGGGGATCATATAGACCGACCCGGGTATCCTATAGAACGCACTATAGCAGATGCACGATTATTAAACAATAGGGATCCTATAGACCACCAAGGGGGATCCTATAGAACGCCCTGTTATTGATACTTATACTAGAAACATAATAAACAAACAGCAGGTGATTCTATAGACCGCCCCGGAGATCCTATAGAACGCCCTACAGCAGATACACGATTATTAAACAACAGGTGATCCTATAAACCCCACAGGGGATCCTATAGAACGCCCTCTAGTATATGCGTCAAGTAGATACATGTTTAAAAAACAACGGGATCCTATACACCGCCCGGGAATCCTATATAACGCCCTATAGCAGATACACAACTATTAAACAATACGGGATCCTATAGACCGCCCCGAGGATCATATAGAACACCCTGTTATAGATACATGATGAATAAACAACAGGGGATCCTATAGACCGCCCAGAGGATCTTATAGAATGCCTTATACTAAAAACATAATGAACAAACAGCAGGGGATCCTATATAACGCCATATAGCAGATACACAGTTATTAAACCACAGGGGATCCTATAGACCGCCCAGGGAATCCTATAGAACGCCCTGTTATATATACATGATGAACAAACAACAAGGGGTCCCATAGACTGCCCCGGGGATTCTATAAAACGCCCTATAGCAGATACACGATTATTAAACAACAGGTGGTCCTATAGACCTCGCAGGGGAGTCCGATAGAACGCCCTATAATAGATACATGATGATGCAATCACACTACATCTTTTTTATACATAATGTTCAGAAAACAGGGGATCCTGTAGACCGCCCTATGAATTCAATATATCGCTCTATAGTAGACACTAAATGTTCAGATAAAAAGGGAAACTATAGACCGCCCTATGGATTCAATAGATCACCCTATAGTAGACACTTAATGTTCAGATAAAAAGGAATACTATAGACCGCCCTAGTGGTTCAATATATCACCCTATAGTAGACACTTAATGTTCAGATAACAGAGGACTGTAGACCGCCTTATGGATTCAATCGATAGCCATATAATATACACTTAATGTTCAGATAACAGGGGATCCTGTAGACCACCCTCTGGATTCAATATATCATCGAATAGTATACACTTAATGTTCATATAACGGGGAATCCTGTTGACCGCCCTATGGATTCAATTGATCGCCTTTTAGTAGACACTTAATGTGCAGATAACAGGGGATCTTGTAGACCACTCTATGGATTCAAAAGATCGCCCTATAGTAGACACATTGTTTTCAGACAACAGGGGATCCTGTACACCGCCCTATGGATTCAAAAGATCACCCTATAGTAGACACTCAATGTTCAGATAACAGGGGATCCTGTAGACCGCCATATAGATTCAATATATCGCTCTATAGTAGACACTTAATGTTCTTATAACATAGGACTGTAGACCGTATTGATTCAATAGATCGCCCTTAAGAAGACACTTAATGTTCAGATAATAGGGGATCCTGTACACCGCTCTATGGATTACATATATCGCCCTATAGAAGACACTTAATGTTCAGATAACAGGGGATCCTGTAGACCGCCCTGTGGATTCAATAGATCACCATATAGTAGACACTCAATGTTCAGATAACAGGGGATCCTGTAGACCGCCATATGGATTCCATATATCGCTCTATAGTAGACACCTAATGCTCAGATAACAGAGGACTGTAGACCGCTTTATGGATTCAATTTATCGCTCTTTAGTAGACACCTAATGTTCAGATAACAGAGGACTGTAGACTGCCCTATTGATTCAATAGATCGCCCTTTTATAGACACTTAAAGTTCAGATAACAGGGGATCATATAGACCGCCCTATCGATTTAATAGATCGCCTTAAAGTAGACACTCAATATTCAAATAAAAGGGGATCCTGTAGACCACCCTATGGATTCAATAAGTCGCCTTAAAGTAGACACTCAATATTCAGATAACAGGGGATCCTGTAGACCGCCATATGGATTCAATATATCACTCTATAGTAGACTCTTAATGTTCAGATAACAGGGGATACTGTAGACCGCCCTTTCAGATTCAATAAATCGTCCTTTAGAAGACACTTAATGTTCAGATAACAGGGGATCCTGTAGACCTCCCTATGGATTCAATAGATTGCCTTATAGTAGACACTAAATGTTCAGATAACAGGGGATCCTGTAGACCGCCCTATTGATTCAATAGATCGCCCTATAGTAGACAATTGATGTTCAGATAATTCGTGTTTCGGGGCCTCTGGGACCGTGATGTCCCGCTGTGTTGAATACCAATTGTTGGTCTTGGCTTGTTTTGAGCATTTTTGTCGGGTTGTTGTCTTAATGACACATTCTCCTTTTCCGTTCGGTGTTTTGTTGATTTTAAACTGATTAAAATTCTGTTTCAAGTTAATTTTTTTATTCTTTAATAATAGAGACTTAAAGTATTGGCATACCTCAAGATTGCTGGCTTTGTCCTGTTGTTTCTATTTTTTTATCAGCTACATGTTTGTCTTTCCCAAAGATGCAGCTGTTTACTTTTCTGCCTGTTATAATGAAAGGCGTTCCATCATATGGCACAACCTCCTCTCCAAGATCGGAAAACCGTATTCTGTACTTTTCTGGTATTTCTATAATATTTATTTTGCTACATACATATTTTAACTAATTGATTGATATATAATCAAGTGCTGGCATGTTATTTACTGCTAGTAGCCCAACTATGGGTGCGGAAATTCTCGCTGTGTTGAAAGCTAATTGGTGGTATGGGGTTGTTTTTTACAATTTGGTTGGGTATTTGCCTTTCCAAAGTTTTTATTTATAATTCATTATTCTTATAACGATACTGGCTTCTAACCAAAACACCTACCAATAAGCACCAAACAATAGATAAATAACTGTTTTAAAGCGCAGGATACATAGTTCTTTATTTCAATGCAGTGAAAAACTAAAGAGATATATTATTCACGAAATCAAACATACAACTTAAGATTATTAAGATTACTCATAGCGACAAGTGGATGGACAGACAGACAGCTGTATACCATAATGCACCCGATAAAGTACACTTTACAATTGTGATATGGTCATAAATTGTTATAATTTTGATTGTTATATCAATTATAATATGAATAGCATGATTTTCAGTTATAAATATCTTTCAATTCCAATAAAAGTAAAAAATATTCTTCAAATAGGCTACATTGCATTCTTATAAAGTATGTTTTTTTTTCTGTATAGTAATCAATAGAGGAGGAAGACAACAACCCAAAATCAGAAAACATTACAGCTATTATCGGACTTAATTGTGTCCGTTCAAACAAAATCCAATATACAATTGATTAGTTATATGTCAGACTAGTCTATTCTCATAGAAGGGTAGTAAAGGTAAACCTAGTAATGACTTTACGCTTCAGCTATAGCAAGGAAGGTAACCAAAGATTTTGTTTGAACCTACACACTCAAATCCGATGGCTGTAAAATAGGGTTTTAAGTTAGTTCTACGAGATAAAGATATACATGTAATTTTGTGTACATTCTATTTATTAGTACTTAATTGATTTGGGCCAAATGTTAATCCCCGATTTGGTGACTACCTGGAATCTGGAATTTCAGAAAAAAGGACAATTTTCTGCTACACTCTTTGACAACATTAACGGTTTTGATTTTATAATTAACAATTAACTATTCATTCCTATGTAGTAACATTCAAATTGCTTCAGTGTTTAAAGCTTTTTTTTCTCAGAAATCATACGTTTTGTGAGATGTTGTGACCATTAAACGAATACATAAAAGAAATTAAAGAATTAAAAACTATATATAGTTTTGGCTTGTCCTATATCAAACAGTAGTTCTAAGTGTCATTTATATTTCAAATTTTCAGGATGCAGCACTTTCAGAAGATGTTCCATAATTATTGACTCAGAACTGGAATGAAATAATATATAAATTGGCTTTTTCTATTTTTCTGTCACCTTACATGTATAAATGCTTTTTGTAGAGAAATAAGAATCGCTGCTTGAACTAATACTGTTGTTTTACTGTTTTAATAGCCAAAACCGGGATTTTGGCTGATCATGAATGATAAATAATACTTAAATGTATACTACTCAGCAAGAACGTTGTAAAGATAAAAGGGGACCCTGTAGACCGCCCAGGGGATCCTATAGAACGCCCTGTAGTAGATACATTATAAACAAACAATAGGGGATCCTATATAACGGACTATAGTAGATATATGATGTTCAGACCACAGGGGATCATGTAGACTTCCCAGGGGATCATGAAGAACGCCCTATAGTATATACATGAAAACCAACCATTAGGGGGTCCTATACAATGTCCTATAGTAGATATATAATGTTCAGACAACAGGGTATCCTTTAGTCCTCTCAGGGGATCCTGTAGAAAATCCTATAGTATATACATGATAAACAAACAACAGGGGAACCTATAGAAGGTCCTATCTCTGATGCATAATTTTTTAACAAAAGGGGATCCTGTAGACCGCCCAGGGGATCCTGTAGAACACCCTATAGTATATACATGAAAAACAAACAACAGGGGATCCTATAGAACGTCCTACAGTAGATATATAATGTTGAGAAAACAGGGGATCCTGCAGACCGACCAAGGGATCCTATAGAAAGCCTTATAGTATATACATGAAAAACAAACAACAGGGGATCCTATAGAACGTCTTATAGTAGATATATAATGTTGAGAAAACAGGGGATCCTGCAGACCGCCCAAGGGATCCTATAGAACGCCTTATATACATGATAAACAAACAACAAGGGATCATGTAGACCGTCCAGGGGATCCTGTAGAACACCCTGTAGTATATACATGAAAAACAAACAACAGTCGATCCTATAAAACGTCCTATAGTAGATATATAATGTTCAGACAACAGGGGATCCTGTAGACCGTCCAGGGGATCCTGTAGAACGCCCTGTAGTATATACATGATAAACAAACAACAGGGGAACCTATAGAAGGTCCTATCTCAGATGCATAATTTTTAAACAACAGGGGATCCTGTAGAACACCCTGTAGTATACATGTATATATGAAAACCAAACAACAGCAGATCCTATACAACGTCTTATAGTAAATATATAATGTTGAGAAAACAGGGGATCCTGCAGACCGCCCAAGGGATTCTAAAAGCCCTATAGTATATACATGATGAACAAACAACAGGGGAACCTATAGAAGGTCCTATCTCAGATGCATACTTTTTAAACAACAGGGGATCCTGTAGACCGTCCAGGGGATCATGTAGACCGTCCAGGGGATCCTGTAGAACGCCCTGTAGTATATACATGAAAAACAAACAACAGTCGATCCTATAAAACGTCCTATAGAAGATATATAATGTTCAGACAACAGGGGATCCTGTAGACCGCCCAGGGGATCCTGTAGAACGCCCTATAGTATAAACATGAAAAACAAACAACAGGGGATCCTTTAGAACGTCTTATAGTAGATATATAATGTTGAGAAAACAGGGGATCCTGCCGACCGCCCAAGGGATCCTAAAAGCTCTATAGTATATACATGAAAAACAAACAACAGTCGATCCTATAAAACGTCCTATAGTAGATATATAATGTTCAGACAACAGGGGATCCTGAAGACCGCCCAAGGGATCCTGCATAGCCCTATAGTATATACATGATAAACAACAGGGGAACCTATAGAATTTCCTATTTCTGATGCAAAATTTTTTAACAAAAGGGGATCCTGTAGACCGCCCAGGGGATCCTGTAGAACGCCCTATCGTATATACATGAAAAACAAACAACAGGGGATCCTATAGAACGTCTTATAGTAAATATATAATGTTGAGAAAACAGGGGATCCTGCAGACCGCCCAAGGGATCCTAAAAGCCCTATAGTATATACATGATGAACAAACAACAGGTGAACCTATAGAAGGTCCTATCTCAGATGCTTAATATTTAAACAACAGGGGATCCTGTATCCCGTCCAGGGGATCCTGTAGAACGCCCTGTAGTATATCCATGAAAAACAAACAACAGTCGATCCTATAAAACGTCCTATAGTAGATATATAATGTTCAGACAACAGGGGATCCTGTAGAACGCCCTATAGTATATACATGAAAAACAAAAACAGGGGATCCTATAGAACGCCTTATATACATGATAAACAACCAACAGGGGAACCTATAGAAGGTCCTACCTTAGATGCATAATTTGCAAACAACAGGGGATCCTGTAGAACGCCCTATAGTATAAAAATGAAAAACTATCAACAGGGGATCTTATAGAACGTCCTATAGTAGATATATAATGTTCAGATAACAGGGGATCCTGTAGAACGCCCTGTAGTATATACATAAAAAAACAAACAACAGTCGATCCTATAAAACGTCCTATAGTAAATATATAATGTTCAGACAACAGGGGATCCTGTAGACCGCCCAGGGGATCCTGTAGAACGCCCTTTAGTATATACATGAAAAACAAACAACAGGGGATCCTATAGAACGTCTTATAGTAGATACATAATGTTGAGAAAACAGGGGATCCTGCCGACCGCCCAAGGGATCCTGAAAGCCCTACATTATATACATGATAAACAAACAACAGGGGAACCTATAGAAGGTCCTTTCTCAGATGCATAGTTTTTAAACAACAGGGGATCCTGCCGACCGCCCAAGGGATCCTGAAAGCCCTACATTATATACATGATAAACAAACAACAGGGGAACCTATAGAAGGTCCTATCTCAGATGCATAGTTTTTAAACAACAGGGGATCCTGTAGACCGTCCAGGGAATCCTGTAGAACACCCTGTAGTATATATATAAAAACCGACAACACCGAATCCTATAAAACGTCCTATAGTAGATATATAATGTTCAGATAACAGGGGATCATGTAGACCGCCCAGGGGATCCTGTAGAACGCCCTATAGAATATACATGAAAAACAAACAACAGGGGATCCTATAGAACGCCATATATACATGATAAACAACCAACAGGGGAACCTATAGAAGGTCCTATCTTAGATGCATAATTTTCAAACAACAGGGGATCCTGTAAAACGCCCTATAGTATAAAAATGAAAAACTAACAACAGGGGATCCTATAGAACGTCTTATAGTAAATATATAATGTTGAGAAAACAGGGGATCCTGCAGACCGTCCAGGGGTCTTATAGAACGTCATATACATGTAGTAGATATATAATGTTCAGATAACAGGGGATCCTGTAGACCGCCCAGGGGATCCTGTAGTACGCCCTATAGTATATACATGAAAAACAAACAACAAGGGATCACAATTGTTTTTGAGCAACTGTATACTAGGCCCGATTTTTTTAATTATCAAAATGAAGGCCAGATTAATTCGTTTCTTTAAACGCAGACCAACCCCTGACTGTACAATGTAATAATGAATTTTAGGACAAATAAGTAGATATCAAAGTTGTTTTACATATAATTGTTCAAGAAAATACGAAATATACTTAAAACATATAAACATGGTAAATCAAAGACAAATTTATCTCAAAACTTAATGATCACTTTTCCTGTACCCTTTTGTCTAGAGCTTTCTGTCCTGCATTCTCCAACTCAATAAACATGGATATA